CAGGCATGTTCTATTGTTAAAGCTATTATATTTATTTAAACACAGCTATTAGAGTCCAGTAGTGCACTCTGTCTATTTTTGCTATACAGTACATGTCTGTCAACAAATAGTTCATTTGTAACACAAGTTCATGGGCTTTTAACGTTAGCCTTGTTTAATTGTTTGCATTTGTATTTGACTGTTCTTTACAGTGTTATTGATTAGGCTTTGAGCCTGACAGTTCAGCGTGCTGTTGTTTTCTGTGGTTCATTCACCTGCTGTTTTAGGATACTGGCCCATCCAGTTTAAACCCCAGAGGTACTGCAGATACCCAGTAAGCACTGCCATACTGTCAAAAGGGAAAAGCAGCTTTTTACCTTTTACCATTGTTAAATGCAGCAGGTTTTAATCATTTGCTTAAGATAAGTATCCTATGACAACAGGGAGCAAAGCTTTCAGTTCAACGATTATTAAAGGCAAGATCAGTATACTAATATCCATTAACCATTCATTATCAGAAAGGTTCTTATTTCTGGCAAGGATCACAGCAGCCTGGAGCCTGCCTGGACTCTGACCTGGAGAGGAAAGGCTCTTTTCTGCTGTGCACGAGCACTCCGGGACAATTTCGAGATGCCAATTAATTTGGAAAGTGGAAGGCAGATGGACTGACTAGGGAAAACGCACAGGGCCAACAAGCAGTCTCCTCACAGAAGACACCTCTGTCCAGAATGAATCACAAAATAAAGAACTGTGAGCCCTCCCCGGGATAATTCAGTTTATAGACCTTTTCCTTTTTTATATACTGCAATGCCCAACATAAAGCAAGAAATCCTTTTCATTTATTCACTAACACGAATATTATGAAGGGTTTGTTATGCGCACGTACAAGGTTCAGTCACTTACTGATCAGTGCCCTGAGGAAGCTACTTGTGCTATAAAACTAAACACATTCAGTATTACATGAGAGTCTGCAGCAGCAGTTGATCCATCCTGAACCCCTAATCCCTAATAAATTGCTTTGGATAAAATGACTGAATGATGAAAACTAAGTCTGCATTCGTGGCAAGAGAACATGAAAAGTGCAAACATGCAATCTTAGCTGAAGCAGTGATGCCTAGAGC